GAAACCAAAAAGATAGCTTAATTCTGTTGGTATAGAGAAAAATGGTCAGAAATTTAACTCTTGATGTCCCTGTGGCTCCTAATCAGTTTCATACAAGCCAATCAGTGTATAAGAAAAGCAGTGTTCCATGACCCGTGTGGTATATGCTACTGGTAATACTGACTATATCTAAGGGTATTAAAAATAACTTTAATACAAAGCCTAAGGCTAATATGGACTGGGCAAAATAGTATATGATCATGAAACAAATTAAAAAAACACAATGTTTATGAGTGCATATAAGTGTGGAGGCATGATCTATTTTAATACTCTTTAATGCTATTACACATCAAGAAGAGATAAAAGAATAAAAATATAAACATAGCCAATAAAAATAATAAATAAATAGATAAAATATGTAATTAATAATATAGTTATACTTAGAAATAAAAACTTAAAAAAAATTGATTTGTAAAGCTGAATAAGTAAGTGATCTAGTTCCAGGTGATAAACAGTTCCAGTCCCTTATAGTTCTCAGAAAGAAGCTATACTAGTCTTGTAGCAATCATGATGTACAGACGGTTGAATAAATGAATTCATCAAATAATTTATAGTTTCCCTAATAGACAATTGATAATAAGATGGGATAGGCAAAGCAATACTATTGTTCACAAATTTACGGAAAATTTGTAGATGATGGGATTTTCTTCTCTCACTTAGTAAATCCAAAGATAGGGATTCCTTCAAATTGGACACGCTGGTGTTCTAACTATAATCATGTTTAATAAATCTCACTGCGCAACTTTGGATAGCTTCTAGTTTCTCCACTATGATGTGTTGCTGCTAATCTTACCACATGTGGAAATCAACATAATGAGCTTGTTGCTGATTCAAGATCACAAACCTCCATATTTTCTTTACCTACATGTCAACAGCAGTACTAACAACCAAAACAACTGATGTTTGACAAGTCAAGATTGCTTTATAATCCACCTTCAGTGCAATTCTCAAAGGCAAGTTTGTAATACCCAACACTCACATCATTGTATCTGAATACTGGCAATGTGTCTCTAAAATGTAAACCACTGGTGCTTATAGTGCACTTCAGAGAAATGAGAAAAGACTCCCATGAAACTAAAGGCTTCTTAAGAAAAACGAGATGCTTTTCAAAAGAAACAAGACCCATCTCGAGAGATGGTGGTAACTTACTTTGGAAGTGGTACTGTACATTAACACTTGTAACTAAAATTTAAAATTTTTAAGAAATACATAGTTTTCCTAATCTTTCTCCCATAATCATAAAGTTTCAACAAAGCAAATCATAAGAGCAATTTTCACAAAAATAAACTTTTTTCAACTTCACACCAGCCTGACATAATATGTGAGAATAATTGAAGAATACATTCATGCACCCCTACCTTTCTTCGATTTAGTTACATGAGTATTCAGGCCCTCTTGAGAAATGTGTCTCCTGAATGAAACCTTGAGGAAGAAGAAATTTGTTTGACCTCCGATGACTTCCTCTTCTATTTAGTTTCATTTTATATGTACAAATACATCTACATTTATTTCTACATCTACATTTATTAGTCTCGCAAAGGGGGGCCATCACGCAAGACATAAAATAACAATAATTAACAAAATGAGATAAAAATAGAGAATATAAATATAGAGAATTTTTCCCAAATCATAAAGAAGAAGACTAAAACACCTAGTACTAGTACATCTTTTACATTCCTTTAGGTTCCTCTATGAAAAAGTTAACACTCGATAAGCAAAGAAGATAAATTTTACCACCACACTCAAGAAACATCACTAAATCATAACCTGGCTGCAGTGAACACTGATAAATAAATAAAAACAAAAAAAGACAAATCAAAGTGGCCATGAGCCACCGAACTCAGAAACAACACTGAGGTCTCACGGTAGCCCACTAGCCACAGACTGTAGAAATTCAGTTTTGGCTAGCGGTTTTCGATTTCCACGAGCCAGTTTGGCTAGTAAACAAACTGAAATTGTGGTAACATCTAAGATGTCACTAGCCACTTGTCTCGTAAGTTGAAAAGTTAGTGTCGAGCGCTGATGGAGCCGAACTTGTTTCAAACACCAATACTGGCTCCATTCGAATATTCTTCCGTATAAAATCAGCCTAAAACGTTGTAACAGATGTTGTTCTGACTCAATCCGATCAAAGTCGATTAAGGTGCCCGCCCATAACCCTTTCAGCTGAGGTGCTGGAATTAACCGCTCAATTCTGTTCATATTTGGCTCGTGACAGTTCCATTCTGTCAGCAAATGTTTTCTCTTAATCTCAAACTTCTCCTGTCGATTAAGTTTTTTTTTTTTAAGTAGCTGGGCTCATAATAACTGGCCACCTCGAGTTAACTTAATATGTAAACAAAGTTAGCCACCTTGACATCAGACGAGGGGTGAACAAAGTTTTCTACGTTTCCGAAACCAGACACTGTATTGCAACAATTTTCATCTATCCATCTGTATCGCGAAAGAGCCCAATCATAGCGAAAGAAGCTAAGCTCCCGATCGTTCTCTCTAGCGTTTCTTACTGCCATTTTGAAATTTGCAGATTCTAATCATCATACCCAAATATGGTAACTAGTAACGCCTGGAACATGGTTACATACGCTTCTCAGGCCTGGAACCGACATGGCCTTCTCCATATTTAAACGACCCTCGAATGCAGATTGCGTAGTGACATGGCGTTGAATTTCCGTATGGATTTGGTGGAGCTTTTGAATCAGGTTTGTGGATAAGACTTAAAATTTGTTACGATGATTACCACAGGAGAATCTAATCGACGTTTTTTGCTATAGAGCAATGCGTATCCCTACTGCCAATCTGGACTACAGCCGCCTTTGAGTTTTCCAAAATAATTTGGTATGAGGTCAATTATGAACAGTAACTTTCGTTCTGTAAACGGGTAGTCACTAGTACTTAGCCACTCCACTCTTTTACGACAAAATATTTGCCGCATACTCCACGCGCTACGTGACAAGATAAATTATATATGCTGTAGTTTGCCACACGGTTCAAGAAAGGGAACATCTGTGGATTTTTTTTAATTCATAGGGCTTTTAGACAAGGCCATTACCGTTCGATGCCAGTCCAAAATATTACCGATAAATTTAGATTTTGTGATACTAAATTTGCTTTGTTTAAAAAGATTGACACACGGCCTAAAAACCATTTGTAGTTAAATAATCCTTTCAAAAAGTAACTCAAAAAATTAAAGCAAGAGGTATTTGCATTTAACAATTATATTAATCAATGTGACTCTCATTCATTTGATATCTGAATTCTCCAAAACAATTTGTTTGTTTGTGAAATGTTGAGTGAAGTTTTGAGGTCTTCTATATAGATACATTTGTTTAATCATTGGAAGTCCCTTGACAGACATTTCTACTGTAAATTTCACTACAGAAACCAAGGGAATTTGATGAATGAAAGTCGCAATAAATCCCCTTGTGTCCAGCAAGAAATGGTGTTTCATTCAACTTCAGTTTTTGAGTTATTTTTTTTAAAAAAAATAACTAGGTGTTAGCGTATAGATTGGTGTATTGTGGTCTAGTGTAATCTGATCAGCGCAATTTGGTGTATCTCTAAGCAATTTGATTGGCGCATCTTTTTTTTGGTGTATCTCAACGCAATGTGATATGCCCAATTTTTTGGTGTATCTCAGACCAATCAGATTGTAGTATTTTTCGATGTCGCACCAATCAGAGCGTTCTTGCTAAATTTCAGCCAAATTTCAGCGAATCAACGCTTGAGTCGGAGAGAGCGGTTCGCGAATTCAGGAAATGTATCAGTCGTGTTGGGAAAGTGGTGGAGTTGTGATCGTTGTACGACTATGCTTATTCTTCCTTCTGAAGGAGACTGAGTGGAACATGAGAAAAATTTTGAATCAAATATTACTTCAGATGTTGATAGGAGCAACTTCAGGATATTTCATTGCTATATATGAGTTAATCAGCGATTCCAATTTTGAATTTCGCTCAAGGAACGAGGTAAGATGACATCTACAAGAGTTGTAAGACCATCTATTCAGTGTAATGGCTCATGTCCTTCGTGAGGATTTTATCGCTATGATCTGTCTGGATTTGAAAGGTCGTCAGGGAACTTTTTCTACCGATTAGCGAGTTAAAACGTGCATGTTTTGTGTACCGCTCCTTCACTTACGACGCATACACCGTCAGCTGGAGGCCTAACACGAATTTNTAAGATGGTTGTATTACTGTTCCCAAGGGTTGTTGTTTTCATCAGTACGTTAACAATAGTAGTGATTCACAGTATTAGGCTTGTACTATAAATAAATATATTTAAGTTCACTCGAAAGATGAGTATAAACTGTAACAAGCTTATCGTTGATGCGCGGCCAGTACTTTAAATCTGACTGACACTCAATGCCAAAACTCAACCTCGTTTCCTGGATATGCCACCACATTACTTAACGCCAATTAAAAACTGCGCGCTATTGTGCATTTTCTTGTACAGGAAAAACCAAACAGAATTTCTGATTCTGGCCCTTAATGGTCAGAATAATAACTAGGACTTTGTCTCTGACGAAGGAACGGCAATAAGCACAATTTTAACCTACTAGCAGGTTGTTGTTTAGTCTCGTCATGAGAGATAGCGTTGCGTGACAAGTTCAAATTAGGGCTGTGGAGGGGACTGCAGGAAGCGTTGTACCAATGCAGTTTGTTTTTGCCAACAATTATTCAGACACCAGCATCAGTTATATAGTGTCCCATTTCAACCTACGTATCCAAAAAAATAACTCCTGCATGCGTAGCATGCCTATGTTTTGGGAGAAGAAAGACAAGATTTACATGTGCCATTGCAGAAACAAATAAGCAGACTCGCAACTGCAAATCACACATTTGAATTCACTTGCAATTTGACTTTATGGTGACCTTTAAAACTGAACTGAGGTAAATCTTTGGAGATTAAGGGTGGTAGGAATTGAACAATACTTTCCATAAGATCTTTGGGTGTTTTGTTTTCAAGAGATGTTCATCACTGTGCTTATTTAAACCATGTGTGTTTGCCATACCAGTCCTGTTTTTGTTCATTCAAGAGTGTACATATTAACCAAGTGTGAGGTCAAGATGGCTGGATATTGGCCGAGTTCTTTTTTTGCATTTTTATGGTTTGACTACCTTCTACCACTTTTTGCGTTTCCTTTGCTGAAATTGTCCAAGAATTATGAACATAGTTTTAATTCTATTTTTTTCCTGCATGGGATCAATGCGGGCAATCCTGAGGAGGCAAGATGGGCCCATCTTGCCCACTTGGGTAGCCAATCAGAACATAGGATTCACTTCATCTTGTCCACAGGCACTGCAAGTGATGTAATAAAATGCATTTATTTTTCTTTTCAATTTACAGGTGTCAGATCCTGACAGATACTTATTTATAAAATGTTTCAAATTTTGCTTGGAAGCCTTTTAAGTTACCTTTACCTTTGTATAAATAAAAATGTTTAGCCTTTCTCTTTAATTTGAATGATCTCTACTTTCTTTAAAATCAACCCTCTAAAAAAAATTGTTCAGTTTATGGAGGATCTTCTCATAATTTTAGCCCTAAATCTTCAGATCCTGACAGAATGCGACGTCACATTACGATATCATGTGCAATTTTGGCCGCGCAATGACCAGGACAAATTTGAAGGCAAATTGTACATATTTTGAAAGCAAAAAAATGCTTTTTAGATTCTTCCAGCACTTTTAAGGCTTCAAAACATTTTCTATAGATATCCAACTACAAGAAACAAGAGAAAAAATTTCGTGTCATATGCACTTTAAACAAAAATGGTTACTTAGATCAGGTGTTCCATTCAAATAAAATATCTTTCAAGGCAGTGAAACTTTTGAAAATCTCCCTGTAACTGACAACAGTTGTTGGTAGACAGATAGGCATGTGGTAGGTCACAACAGTTTAAAACCCCAAACAGCTTTCTGGTCAATTTGAAATGAACTTGCTCTCTTCAAATTCTCCTGGTTGCTCTGTTAGTGCCAATTGTAGTCAGTAAAATACATGCATGACTTTATAGCTGTAGCAGTGATTTTCTTGAGAATATGTGGAAGGATGAAGCACAAATTGGGCATTGAGATGAATTAGAATATTTTTTGTATTTTCAACAGATTGGAGTGTTAGCATTCATTAATGGTGGAGAGGAGGGAAGGGCTCTCTACAATGCATTTGTAACTGGTAGAGTTTGCTATGAAGTTTACAAAAGACTTTCTGTGTCCCAAGCTGATGTTCTTAGGGTAGGTTATACAGTGGTACTCAAGATGTTTTCTTTTTTCTTTTCTTTGTTGATTTTGTCCAGACATAATTGTAATAACTTCAACACAAACCTACTGACCTCAGACAAGTAAGTTTGAAAATCTAGCCATATGGCATGGAACTATAGTGGGCCAGTAACAGCCGAAGACATCAACAGCCCTTGACTATAACTTGTACAATAGAAAACAAAGTAAGCAAATTCACTTGCAGTCTTGAAGTGCTCAAAGTCCCAATAAAGAGTTACATTTATGATTAAAGAGTTGTATTACAGTTTTGAAACCAAAAAAAAATCTCAAAGCAAACTTGTTGAGCATCATGCTCAAAGTCCTGTACTTGAGTTACATGTACATTTCTATGTTGAGAGAATGGTCATGTAGTTGTGATGAGGCTCTTTGCAGAGTTGAAATGCGGATTCATATTAGCCATGAATTATTTCTTATAAAGTATGTATGTGTCACTGTGATAGAGAATGTTTTGTTGTTTTGAAGGCAGAGACTGTAATTCGGATCAGTCAGTATGTGAAGAGTCACCCACAAGCAAGTCAAGCACAATTAAAAGCTGAAGTGGAAAAGGAAATAAAGATATTTGCACAGAAGGTTGCTCAACTTGAGGGAATGTAATGATTGAATCGGCGAGATTCATTTTGTGGATGTAATTATTAGCTATAAACAAATCCTTTTAACTGACTGTAAATTGCATGCTGTAATTGTACACTTCGCATTCTGTTAATCTTCATTTCCTGTTCCTTTACCCCACATAATTTATGACAGTAGAGCACTTTAATTTGTATGTAGTTATTAATTTAAAAAACACAGATCACTTTGTGGCTTTACTAAAATGTCCTGAAAATCCTTTAGAGCAAGTTTTTTTATGGTTGGTTAGTAACATTTAGCATGTCAACTGTCAAATGGCCTAAATTTAGTATTGACTGTAAACCATCAAAAATGCAAGATTTTTCACTAATCATCAATAAAGCCAGCTAGAGTTAGTTTTCAAACATTTCAGACTTAAAATGGAGTTCATTATTCTGTATTTTACTGTAAGCTTTGGCTGACAAAAAATTAAGTCAAATACAGGTCATTTGTACTCGCATTTGAAACAACTGAACTCTTTGACTTCATCTGAAAACTCTTTCACATTTGATGAATTACACCTCTGTATTTAGGATTTGTGTTATTTGGTTTACCAGCATCACTTCTGTACATACCACTTGTTTTGGCTTAGGCTGTTCCAGTTTTCACACTACCACTACTATCATGTCAGTTACTATTTGGCTGTTTCACTCACTGAATGCCTAGAACAGGCTCATTTTACTTGAAAATTCTGTATGCATTTGAAATTCGCTATTACTTTTTTAAGAATTTTTCAAAAACTTTGTCTCTAGTTCTTGAAAACAATTTCATTTGATGTTGCAACCAATGTATAGGAATTGAAAAAGTAAAGCTTTGATTTAAAAAGTTGAAATGTCATTGCAGAATATTAAGCATCAACTTTTGAAGTAGCCTTTAAACTGTCAGCTTTTGAAGGTTCTATTTCACAGAGACCCTATTTGTACATTTCTTTATACATATCTTTCCTTGAGGTGATAGGGTTAGTGTGATGGTGTAGTTGGGTAGCTGGTTGCTTGGTTAATTTTGTACTGGTACTTGTCACTCATCAAAGTAATAAATTGGTCATTTGTGTTACAAGAATGCTTCTCTTTTAAGTCATGAACCTTTGTATATCCCATGCATTCTCTCAAATAACTCTGCAAGTCCCCCCTCCCCTCTCCATTGTACACCCCCACCCCATTCCAGTGAGTAATGAATGCTCCTTGGCAGAGTCACTTAAGATTAGGGAGTAAAATAGCCAGTGAGCAGACATTAAATGACAATGCATGATGAGGTGGGTGGCAAAGCAAGTAGGAGGTCAAGGATAAGTAAAAGGAAAAAACCTGAGTCAAAGAGTTAATTGAGGTCACCAGATTATTCTTGATATATTTCAGATTTCAAACCTTTTGAATTTACCCCACATGCTATAGATCCTTGATACTATAGCTCAACCAATTTTAAAGTCATATAAAATATAAAGATTTAAGCTATCACTGAGATATCAAGCCACAATAACACCAACAGCAGTACCTATCTTTCAATATTTCTAAGCTTATTGAGACTGTGGTATTTAAAACCGTTTGGACCCTCAGCCATAAAAAAGAATCGTTACTTGTATGAGGTTTCGGAGTCAGCATAAGTCTGGGTAGTCTGACGCTATCTCATTGTTTCCATCGTTCCCTTTCTTTCCTTTCTTGGAAAACTGACCGATAATCCCCTGGGAACGAGATTAGCGAAACTAGGGGAAAGCAGGTGGCCTTCAATTCGCATGCGTATTTGTAACAAATAAAAAGTTACCAAGTCAGAGGTTGAGTGATTGTGTTAGGGAACAGCTGACTTAGTCTTTCGAGGTTTGGCTCCCTGGGACATTGACCGAAGAAAGATCATGTCCGAAAGCGGTCAAAACCTCGAGAACACGCATCCACCCAGTTCCTATCCATGCCATTCCTCTCACAGTGTAACAGCCGCGCCAGTGGGACGTTGTATGAATAAGTGTAGAGGAGAAATCCCCATCGTTGAAAAAGCCATATGTCCGTTCAACGAAACGCATCAAAGTTTTGCTGAAGAAGTGGACCACAAAGAATCGTTATATGCCTGTGAATCAGAAAGTTGTAAAATACAGCAAGGCAAGAGTGATACTGATGGGAAAACTCAGAAAAACCGAGTGTTTGAAAGTTTTTCGTCGGCAACTTCCCTCAAGTGTAAGTCATGCGAAAAAACTGAGACCGGATGCGAGAGTGGGCTTGAAGTAGTAGGCGGCATACGAAATTACAATTCTTTCGCCAGCGAAGCGGATGAAAGTGGGAAAATTTCCCACAACGATCCAGAAATAGAGTCAAACGGCAACAACCAACAACCGCGGAAAACGCTGAACGAAGACTGTTTGAGTGTGAGTGAACAAACTGTAGTGTCATCCGAAGAGAGGTTGAAATCCACCGGGGACATGAAATCAATTGAACAGCGATCACCACAATCAGAGAATGCGACACTTGGCAGTTTGGGAAACGGTGAAAGCATCCCCAAAGAAGAGCGATTTGACTATACAAAATACATACCAAGTGAGGACCTTAAGGAGGATTTTCTTAAGTCGATTGGCAAACCTTCAAATGGCCAGGTGTACGATACCAAATGCCAATTCGCAAGTTATCCATTTGCCTTCCAACAGTGGCCTCTAGAGTACCATTTCCCTCCCCAGTTTCAAAACCCTAATGGCTACCAATCCACTGGAGTACCACAAACTTTTTTATCGTTCTCCAACATGTACAATATGATTCCAGCAGTATCAACAGGTCAGGCTTCGTACACATGCTCATATGGGTTTCATGACCAAACTGGTGGACCAGGGTCTCTACAGTCACCGGGTCAAGGGTATGACTATTGTGTATACCCGGCAGCCAGGCCCAGTTATTATCGATCCTTCTACAGACGCAGAAATTTGAACAATTCATTTCGCCACAGCAATCACAAAAACAATGACTCCAATAATTATGAAATCCACACTGAGACATTTTTGAATAATTTCAACCAACCACAGATTAGCATGGAAGAAGGCCATCATCTGAGGAAGGTAAGTAATATTGAAAGTAACGAAACCTTTCAATCTCTTTCTTTTGATGTACAAAAAATGGGTGTAATGATCATAATAAGCCAATATTACTTCCTAAGGTCTGTAAGAATGATGTCCACTTTGAGGAAAGCTCAATTGAAGATGGTGATATTCAAGAACATTTTGTAGATATTGGTGAAGTCCCTGCTAAACAGGAGTCAGAAGTTTCAGGAGGTAGTGGGTCAGTGAATCTTCAGTCCTCCCAAGATGAATTAAAGAAAAGTGAGATTGAAAAACAGATTCGTAAGATTAAAAAGAAATTGGCAGAAATCAGCGGCTTAGAGGAAAAGTACCACAAAGGGGCAAACTTAGATTGTGATCAATTAAAGAAATTGTCAAGGAAGAGTGAGTTTGAAGATCAGTTGCAATCACTTAACTTATCATAGCATTACCATTATGGTATTAGTCCTTTGATTGTGATGTTGCATACATTAAGTACAATTTACAGTGAATGTAACAGAGTTCTTTTATTAGGTTAAACATGCAAACAGTGTATAGAGTTGTGCACTAAGGCAATAAATTAACCCCATCAGAATTTTGCTTTTCTTTCTCCACATATCGTTACTGTAATGTATTAATGCATAATCTTGCTAATTTTAGTGTTAATTTTTTTTAAGAGATTGCCCGTAGACATTTGATAATTGTGACTGTACAAACAATTTCACTTATCATTTATAGATAGATATCCATTGTCTGCACTTGTCTTTGTAAGAAAAGCATACTTGGTCTTTCACCTTCAAAACTTCAATGGTTATGTACAATTCGTGAGAACAGTTTCCATCCATTCTCAGATTGGTTCAGTGATGCACTTAATTAATTTGAAATTGTTGTTGTTTGTTTCCATTGTACATTTCTTCCCCAGGCTATCCATCTGTCTGGCTCTCTTAGTTTTGGTGAAGTTCCTATCTCATTTTTTGCTGGTTGTTCCTTGTTCACTCTGGAAGGTTACTTTTATTATGTTATATTCTCCTTTGAAGCTGCCTTAAATGTGGTTGTGAAAGGGCTTTCTTGATTCACTGAGCCTTCATTCTTCCTAAAAAGAATGCTATCTTGATTTTCTTTTTGGGACCAAAGCCCTTGTGATGTAACCCATAAACAGGGAATGTACATACCACACAGAGAGAGTAAGCACAACATTGATCTAATGGTGGATTGATTTTGGTTGTGATGAATTTAGTCCATAGTGTATCATATAAGAAATGAACATGCTATGAAATCAACACCAATTTTTGAACTTGGTTCGGTTTTGGTGGTTTTCAATTAACACACCAGTCATAATTTATGAGTGTATGTGGGCACTTGGATGGATAATTTGCTTTTGTAAACATGAGTAATGTAAGTGAGATGCAGTTTTTTGTGGTTTCTAAGGAAAGTATGAAACTCCTAAGGCTGGGACTTGCACACAATCCTGATCTAGACTTTGCCTACTTTGTTTTAGTTTACACTCTTGTTCTCTTTTTCACACTTGGCATGGCAGTGTGATGAAGTCATCAAGGTAAACTTGGCCATGCTGGCTGTAGTTATTCTATGTTGATTTCATGGTGGCATTGTCAGTAAACACCAAGGGAAATGTGTGAAAAAGGGAAGAAAGAGAGCCACACAAGATATTTGTGATGATAGCAGGTCAATATTTATAGCAGACACTGTTTGTAGCAATGGTAGAAGAAACGTTTTGTCGTTTGCCTTCATTACTGAAACAAAGAGTGTGTAAAAACAGTTTTGATATCTCACAATGAAATAAGACCAAGATTTAATCCTTCTTCAAAATCCTTCTTTCATTTGTCTTACAAAGTGCACTAGATTAGTTAGCAAGTTAACCTTTTCTTTTTCACTTAACACTAGACACACGCTCCAAAATCCCCCTTTGTTTTTAAACTCTTGTGCAGGCACAGTGTTTGACTGCTGTGTTGCTCTAATTTGGTGGCTTAACTTCTGTGATACTAATTTTCAATATTTTTTTTCAAATGTCTCAATACATTCGAGAAATTAAGAAAGCAAAAGATCATTATATTATAATAACAGCAATTTCCTGGTATAAAGAAATTATAACAGTACTACTGTAAAGATTATTCCAACTGGTGATTTCTTTCTAAACCCCCTACGCTGAGAAATAAATATAGAAACATTAGGTCCAGAACAAGGAATACCTAAATTTGATAATAATTTGTTTTTAAGATAGGATCATCACATTATTATAAAACCATCAAGCAAACATTTTGATCCCCATGGCAATAAGAAAAAATTAAGGTCAACCAAAGTTTGCTGGGAAAGTTGCAGATTTGAAGACCAGGGCCGGGTTGTTCAAAGGCGGGTTAAGATAACCCAGGGTTACCGTGAAATTTAATTGCAGATCTGAAAGCTTTAAAATTAAATTCACTTTACTGAATTCCATTTGTTTACAAGTTGGCGATTGAATGCTCTAAGAATAATTGGGAAAGTTATCTTAAAACGGCTTTTGAACAGAGAAATATAGAAACCTGGATTAAACTTTAACCCTGGGTTAGCACTAATCAGTCTTCGAACAACTGGGCCCAGTGATCTATGAGTCAGGCAGCAAGTTGGAAACTTTTTAGTGTGTTTTGTTATGGTCTGAGATAAACATTTCCATGAAACATTTATTAATTTTTCATCACTCTTTTATTTGTGAAAATTTGCTTCTTTCTCCTTGTTTGTTAGAATGAAACCTCAAGATGTTGTGTCATCTTCGAAAATGATTGTTCTCCATTGATCGGTTATTGTAAAACCAGGGTGTGTTGTCAAGGTGTTTCATGTTATGTAATACATCAGTGTCATTTTCTTTTTTTAAGTTCACCAAGTGGTGACTTTGATGATAGTTGAGCTTTGAGCCCCGAACATATAAATCAAGAAAATAAATCCCCAAGTTAATTTTAAGGGCAAAGGAGTTACTTGTAGTAGGTTATAAGACCCAAAAGTATAGAGAGCCAAAAGTTTTAGGGGACTCACCTTTTAGTCTCATAGGAAGTTTGTGTAAGCACCAGAAAACAACCTGGCTTATTTCCTTTTCTAACAGTCATCCCAAAATACAGATTGTGGGTTACAAGTTTAAACCAATATCAGAATGGTTAAAGGTATTGTTAAAGAGTTGCTGTCTAGATTTTGACTCTTTTTAATGCCAAGGAAACCTCACGTAGCCCATAAAAGATGTCTGTTTAGTTCTTTCATGTCTCCATCCCAATCTGCTGTTTGACCTCCCAATGTTTTGGTTGTCTTTGGAAGTTTTCAAGCACTAGCTTGGTAGTGATTAGAAAAACTTGAATTTCTACAGTTTTCACAATAGTTTGGTTACTTGAGTAAGCTTCAAAGTCAATATCAACTACAAGGAGAAGGTTCTTCACTTTGAACAACAATCCGAAGATGCAACCTAGTTGAATCCTGTACTTCAATATCTCTAATCAATGTAATGACTTTGAAAAAGTTGTAAGACAAAGTCATGTAGGGTTAGTTTCTGTAAGCAACTAACAATGGATAAATCAAGTTTATCATATCATGATAGCTTTCACTGAAATTATAATATGGTTAATTTTCCAAAAAGTCCACTGAGATAACTTCATCTATTTAGGCTAGAGGTAAGTATTGGCCTTTGCCAGTGTTAAATGTCCATTACTCCTAGGTAACATAGCTGCTGACAAAGTGACCTGCACAACTCTGTTTCAATGTGTTGATCCCTTTAGTCAATCCAATTGTGAGGTCGTAAATTTAATAAATGTAGAAGCTGAGGTAGCCAGAACATAGAACCAACAAGTTCCAGGACAAAGTACAGTCAAACCTCAATTATCTGGACCAGTTGGGACTTAGGTAATCAGTCTGGATAATGGAGAGTCCGGATAATCGAAAATATGAATATTAATGAGACAATAATGTAAACAAAAAAAATAAAGATAAAAGTCTGCTTTAATGACTCTCCGAGTGCTTGATCTTGAAAGTGGAGGAGGTAATGCGCTGTTTTAAACATGCTTTTCCTGACTTTAGACATAATATCTGAATTTTTTTACCTCATAAAGTTGAAAGATCAAAGCTCATTAATAATCATGAAAAAAACGGGACCAGAGAAAAAGTCCGGATAATCGAGGTTCGACTGTGGTTGATTATTTCATAAAGATAACAATTGCTCTTCATGACTGAGATAATTTGTATTCCTGAATGATTTTATTGATTTTAAAATTTCCTGTTTCGTTGTGCATTATTTCATTTTAGTCCGTTCTGTACTTGGACTAATACGGACAATTTTTATCTCATTAAAGGAATCTTTATAATGTTAAAAAAGACTATATTTTAAGTAACTATGAAATGTTACCAGTTAAATTGATCATTATTAGGCTAAATAACACCACCATTTGTGAGTTACATCTTCTGAGATCAGCTGTTTATTGCCCTCAAAGCATTTAGAACTTCATGTTGGGGGACTGGATTTGAAGTATATTTAAAATTTGTTTACTGAGAGTTCATTTATCTCTCAGGCACTTTGAGATTGTTCTAAAGCAATGTAAACAAATGTGATAACATGGATTTTACTTGATTTAATTTGATTATTTCTTTTATTACTGGTACCGAGAAGAATATAATTTATTATGGACTAGAGGAAAAATTATAAATTGAATTTAGGACGACAATCTAAATAATATGTCTGAGGTGATGCTTGTTATTTATTTTAAAATTGTCTACCTATTTATTTATTTGTGTGTACCTATTTATTCAGATTTTATTTATTTCTGTAGTTTACTTATTGTCTTACAATACATTTTTGCATTCAAACAGTTATCATGAGGTAAATGGTTGTTTAGTTAAAACAGATGCAAAATATTTGGAAAATATGTAAAACATGTGGGTAATATAGTATGTTTTAGTTACTGCAAAATGTCTTATTGTTACATGAACATGACAAAATTAAAATGTACACATGTATTTTTCTGTCATGACAAATCATTTGGCGTAAAGGCAATAAAGGATTTTTCCCCAATCTAAACACAAGAGATTGGGGAGAATTTGAGGCAGTTATGTGAA